CCAATGTCAGAGGAAACTATCATCTGTGGCTCCTAATATTGAGGCGACAGAAGGAGAGTACATTACTGTGGTGGCATTCCTGCTGAAAGTTTATAAACTGAATTGAACTTAATGACTCCTTTATTGAATCCAGTTGAGGGAAAGTCTATCAATAATGTTTCCAGGCTTGCATTTTCAAATATGTATTTGCATTGAATAAAAAAATGTTAAGATTTAGAAAGACAAAGAAAGCCTTAAGAGTTGTTACAGATTAGTTGAAATGAAACATGAATACTAAAAGAAATTTGGATTCCTGGGTTGGAATCTGGAATGGGAAAAACTAGCTAATAGGGCATTATTAACACAATTGACAGGATTTGAATATAGACATCTGATAATATTTTATTAGTATTAAGTGTCCTGCTTTTGATGTTTGCAATCTGTTTATAGAAGATAATATTCTTCTTAAGAAAATTTAATTGAAGTAGGAAGGAGTAAGGAGGCATATCATCTCTAATTCCCTCTCAAGTGTATCTTAAAATGTACATATAGATGATGGCATCTATGTATGCATTATAAACAAAATGTTACATAAGCATTTTACATTCCATAAGTGCATGTTTATACAACTACACAAAAAAATGGAGAAACAAAGAATCTGAGGGGAACTTGTACAGATGAGGAGTTTAATCTACATCTTTCACAAGAGCAGAGGGTGGAAAAATACTGAAATGAAAATAGGCAAAGTAAAAGGATGGCTAACAACAACAAAACAAAACCACAAAATAATAATGTTAATAAAAATTTAAGCAGAAGATTTTCATTACCTCAGCATTAGATTCTAAGCTGGTTTGGCTTTAATTATTATTTCAAGTTCCAGGATATTGTATATACACAGTCTGTCTATCTTAATGCAGTATTTACCTCAATTGTAGAAGAATGTTGTCAAGAAAAGAATTCCAAAAACCTATGTTTTTTCATTGCTATGACCGAAAGATCCAAGACAGTAAAGACTAGGAAAAGTTTATTTAGCTTATGGTTTTCAGGGGTCTCACTCCATAGATGGCCCACTCCATAGCTCTAGGCCCATGCTAAAGCAGAAGAACATCATGGCAGAAGAGAGGGGCAGAGGAAAGCAGCTCAGGACATGGCAATTTGGAAGCAGAGAGAACTCTGCTCTCCAGAGAAAAAAAAGACATGTCCCCAGTGACCTGTTTCTTCCAGCTCCATCCTACCTCCCTATAGTTATCACCCATTAATCCCTATCAGTGGATTAATCCATAGTCTAATCATTTCACCTATGAAAATTCTTTCATTCTCTCACACATGGGCTTTTTAAGGACCCTTCATATCTAAACCTTAACACAATCATTCCCCAAGACTTCTTCTATTTGCTAGAGATGACAGTGTCTCATTTGAGTTGTGCATGATATATTTTTGAGAGACTAAACTATGGAAGATACACACTTCATTATCAGAGATGATTATATTTCAAGGCAGACTCATGCCGATTGTAGATCTTAACCAATAACAAACTTCAAAATTTCATCTACAAGTAAAATACAGATAGAAATATAGCATTCCTTTCTGGGAAAGCCTCAGATCCATCAGATGCAGCTTCCCTACTGCTCCTTTCTCTGTTCTGGGATGTGTTTTGGTTTCAAAGTAACAGATGATCATTTAGCAATGTGTGCTGAATATTGATCTCAGAAAAAGTCACTTTGTGGTTTCTTAGTTTTACATCCTGTGTCTCACACATAGAGGAAAAAGAATATGACACTAATTTCCATCCTTCATCCAGCCAAGCCTCAAATTCATCATTCACATGAAGTAATTAGGCCATCCAGGACTATCACACTCAATCGRATGTTTTAGGTAAGGATCCCCTAATACTTTTCATGTCATATTTGTAATCACTATTTTGTTAGACATTATAAGCAAAATTTGTTAAGATTCTAGTATTTTCCTCATCTTTATTTTATATGTTAAATCTATTAAAGAAAAGATATTATGTTAAGCAACTAATAAATGATCCTAGCTTGTATGCTTTCCTCTTTCTTACCTGCTCACATCCAGCCTTTACAATTAAAATTTCTATGGATTAGTTCATGTAATAGAATGTAATAACTGGGCTTCAAGATGCCAGGTGGGTAAAAAGCTGATGGAAAATAATATTCCCCAGGTCATTAAGTGAGCCATAAAAATATCATTCATGTCTTCTTTTGACTTTGTTTGTGGAGATTGAAACTTGGGTTGTGGTTGATCAGATTTTTTAGTATCAATATTCCAAAGAGATTATAATGTGGTTCATATTGTAAAATTAGAAGAAACTGGATTTGAGATCTGTATGCTGACCCATATTTCAGCTTCTAATGCAATTATTTACTTAAAATTTTAGTTCCCTTGTAACTTTATCACTTATTACATGGAATTGAGTTCTCAAGTTCTTCATGACTTCCTGGACATTACTTGGCCGGTTACCTTCATGTTACGCACTTGGTGAGTGGGTTCCCAGAGTGCAATGAGTATGCAATTAATAAGGCTGAAGATGTTGCTAAACTAATTTGAGCATCTTTAAAGAAAAACTGTCTTCTCTACTTGGCCCTTAATACAGCAGATATTTTGTAAAGCTTTTTAATGCTGTTTGTTAAAAAATTATCTTTGAATTATTGCTGTATAACAGAAAAAAAATATTTACTTCTAGCTAAAATGCAAAACAATAAAATATAAAAAGCGAAACAAGAACAACAAAAACCCTCAGATGTATAAAATATGACAAGAAAGAAGACCTGAAAAGGAGTCTTTATGGTAGCAAAATACCATAGAATACTTTATATAGGAGAAGAAAATAGAGCAAAGTGAAACTATTGAAGGCAAAAAAAAAAAAAAAGATGTTAATACAGAAAATTCTGATATTTCTGAGGGCATGAATGATTCTTTCACTTCAGTATTCACCGGAAAAGCTAAAAGTTCATGCAGTATTTGCAGACTGTATGGTGAAATATATTTTAGTAGAATTTTTTTAAAAGACGTTTCTTTAAAAAAATATTTGGATGAAATGTACTATACACATTTCAGTCAATTTTTAAAAGGTTTTTTAGTCTAAGAAATTGTTTTTCTAGTTTTGACAGAAATTGTTTTTTTCTCACCATGAATGTGATTAAAAATTTAGAGGACATTTTCAATGATGCTGGAAAATAAATGTTATGTGATCTGATGTGCCACTAGTGAAATGCAGTATTTCCTATACAACTCCTGTCAGTATATCAAATAAATAAATAAGACTGAATGATAATCCTGAGAAATCAGGAAGGCAGAGACTGTAGGTACTTTTAGAAAGGTGCTAAAGCATGACACACTTTCAAATTATCTGCATTTTATTCCAATAGAGTGAGCTTTGCTAAATGAAAWGATACACATCTTAAGTCAATTTAAAGCATATTCTGCAAACTTTATTTATATACCAAATATGTTAAGAAATAAGTAATACCATCTCTTCAGATATATATTTCATTTAAAAAAATAATACCAACCCCTGGAGACAAATCATAAAGTATCTTTAAAGCACATTACTCATATATAGTTACTTCTAACATTTACTATGTATCATTGAAGGACTGTACACTTTTCTCTCATTTCCTCACTCTCTTTCTGCATTCACATTTATTAACTGTAAGAAATTTAAATTATATTATATTTATAAATTATGACAGCAACGGGAAAGTAGTTCAATTATACATTTGTGAATAGTGAACAAATTCCCCATGTTTTCATACTATTTATAAATATAGTATATTGATTATTGTTTTTTTATGATTACTTCATCATACACAAGTAATAATTTGACTAATTAATTTTTTTTTCATTTTCTGAGGATTATAAGTAATACTTTGATGACATTTTTCCCTAAGCAACTTTGCACAACTTTTGGCTACTTTATAGATATAATTACTAATGCATATGACATAACTCAATGTATTTATAAACTAATGCTTATAACCAATAATTTGATTAATTTAGTTAACATTTATTAAACACTTAAATATATTCCATGTAATGTTCTAGTATCAAGGATATTATAGTGAAAAAAGAAAAAAAATCTCTCCTGCCTACACGAATCTGGTATTTCAGAGAGAGAGAGAGAGAGAGAGAGAGAGAGAGAGAGAGAGACAAAAATATGTAATAAATCATATAGTACATTATATGTTCAGTTTTCTACAAAGGAAAATAAGATGAAGGATAGACAGTGTTGGAGAAGGGCAATTTTACCACTGAGTAAATAATATTTGAATAAAGGTATAAGAAATAAAAGAGTGTGTGCACATAGTAACATGGAATAAAAACCCCCACTATTTTAAAAGGAAGCAATAGTGCAAAGCTGTAAGCAGAAAGGAAATGCAGCAAGGAAACAAGTGTGATAAGAATAGGAAGTGATGGGAGAGTGTTAGAAGTAGCTTCAAGGGGAAGTTAAGATGGCAGATAATGTAGGCCCTCCAGACTAAGTTAAATCTCTGTATTTTGACTGATCCTGGAAAATTTGAGATTTTTAAACAAAGTGAAGAAGTATGAGATACAAGATGTCTTCTATTTTTAATTTGAAATCATGAAGACTGTGTGTTTCCTGCATGATTTATTACACTAGACGTCAACTACCTTAAGGTATATAGAATCCACCCCCACATGTCAAGTATTTCATAATTAAATGGCACATTTATAAATATCTCAGACGTCAAGGAGGAAAGCATAAGAAAAGTAAATAAATAGTGCTTTGAATTAAGTGATAATGAAAACATAAAATATCAGGGTCTCTGGGATGAAACRGTACTCAGATGAACATTTATAACTTAAAGTACTTGTATCATAAAGAAGCTAGAATAAAAAATTATTTTCAAATTATATAGTTGGAAGGAAAAATAATAGTAGGAACAGAAATATATGAAATAGAGAAGAAATAATACAGCTAAAATTTGATAAAATGTCTAATCAAGAAAAAAAACAAGAACACAAAAATTAATATCAATAAAAATATGGAAAGTTTTATGAATTTGCATGTCACCTTTGTGCAAAGGGCATGCTAATCTAATCTGTACCATTGCAGGTTTAGTGTATGGGCTGCTGAAGGGAGCACCAGGATATCCTTTCAAATGTGAAACTGCAAATAGAAGAGAAACAAGAATTGTAGACACCTTTAAGAGGCATTTGTAATATTTCAGGTGAGAAATGACTGAAACTTGGAGTAGTAACAATGGAAGAAATAATGTAATAACTAAAAACTAAAACTAAAAACATTTTTATTTCACTTTGAATGTTGAAACAATAAAAAATTGCTAAAGGATTGGAAGTCAGATGAGACAGAAAGAGGATTCGATTCTAGATGCTTCTGATGTTTGACCTACATTATCAAAAGGATGAGGCAGTCATGAACAAATATGGGTTGATTTTAGAAGGTTGGGTTTGAGACAAGCATCGGTGATCCAGTTTTGAAAATGGTAAATTTGAGATGGTGTTGTTGTATGGCCACTTAAATAGGAGTCTAAATTTTATGGGTAAGGTAAGGCAGAAGATGGGAATTTGGATTGACCACTAAATAAATGGTATTTGATGCCAAGAGAGGTGAGATGATCAAGGGATTGAATGATGTAGAAAGTGACCAGGTGCCCTCAAGCTTGGAGACAAACTGAATGTTTAGGGAGATAAGGAAGAAGAGCGAATACTTAAGGAAGAAGGAAACCAGGAACTTATAGTAACCTTAAAGTCTCATAAAGCAGTCTTCAAATTCTATTTGTAAATCAGGACAAGATTGACAATATAGGTCAATCCAAATGATTCAACAATTATTTGATAAAATGATTCATCAATTATTCACTAAAATTACTTCTAAAGGAATGTAATACATTTCTAATTTTGGAGTTTTTTTTAAAGATTTAGTTATTATAGGTAGTATCTTAATGATACAAAAAGGAAACAAATATATTAAAATATAAGTAACAAAGAGTGTCTTAGTCACCATACTGTATGTTTTTATTGTCAGGACATAAAGCGTATTTCACCTTGGCTCTCAGCAATGATGTGACCTGTGTGTTATTGCACAGTAAGTTGATTATAGATAAAAATTGTATATTTTAAAAGGTAAAGAATGGATTTTGAAAGTTTTCAGTATTAAGAAATGGTAAATGTTTGAGGAGAAAATAGGTTTTGCCAGATCATGTGGCAGCCCCATATAATTTCATGTATCAGTTAAGTTAAAAACAATAAAAAGACAATCTTGTTTTCCTTGAATAACAACAATTACACAATATTTTTAAAACATGATATCGTGTGTACAATTACTGTTATCTTCAAAGGATATTAAGCTGGTTTTAGTTTTCATTGTGTATTTATAAATTACATAGCTGGAACTTCTTCTRTGAACTATAGATTTTTAATTAACTCAATATATTATTTAATGTTAATATAATTTTAGTACAGTGAAATAAAACCTACTCACTGAGAGATTATCTTAATTTCATTTTCTAAATTTAGTTTTAAATTTTTCTAACCATAAAATTAATCTCTAGTTAATTATTAGTTGCTTCAAAATCCAATGAGTTTAAAATACATTCTCAACTACATCATTCCTCTGAAATTTCTGGCCTTATCCATTTACAATACACATTGGACTTTTATCACCTTTTTGGAATTTTGTTGTTTAGATTTGTTGTCTATCTATCTATCTATCTATCTATCTATCTATCCATCTATCTGCCTATCTATCTATTAAGATATTTAAGATCTCTTTAGATATACTATACACACACACACACACACACACACACACATACACATACACACACAAAAAAACATGGTCCAGGATAACTGAAAAATTGAAGTACAATATTCTTTGCAATCTCCATTTGTCAAAAATTCAAAGTCCTGTTTCATTCTTTAGACTCAGTCTCCTGTGTCAAGTCCTTTTCATTGCTTCAGTTCTGTAAATTCTCCTCCTGGCTGACAGAACTCAGGTCTTCTCACTGTTATCTTCAAAGGATTTTAAGGTGGTTTCAGTTTTCATTGTGTATTCATTTTTGTCTTTGTCATTTTCTTTCTTTTCTTTTCCTTTCTTTTCTTTCTTTTGGGGGGATAGAGGATTTGTCCTCAGCCCTCCTCTTTGTAGAGCCATAGTTAAAAGTTGAACCAGTCCCCGCAGGAGAATATGGGGAGATAGGGTGCTCGGTCTGAAGTTCATATTTTCTGTAAGAGATGGATGGAATAAAATGTATGTAAATTGTATTATATTTATTGTGTTAAAGTCTTTGTTCAAGACCCTCTTTAAGTTTCTCTGAGGCTTCATTTCTCTTTTATGGACTACCCCATCATGAAGTAAGGACCTGATTGACCCTTAGAGACTTATGAATGAAAGAAGCCACCAAGAAAAACTATCAGATAAACATCTTAAGTGAAACAGGTACTGTAGTGTCCTGTCCTACCCAGATCTCCATCTGTAGGTCAGGACACAGGTCCTCAGTCAAGATACATCCTTGGGTGCTGTGTTAATGGTTGCCTTTCTAGTACAGATTGGTTGATGGATTTGGATAACTGAAATTGCCTTACCAGAAAAGTTACCTCCTCCTTCCTACCACAACTGGTACAAAATACTGATTCCCTTGTTTTTCACCTCACGAGAGTGATGGACAACACCACAGTCTGACATGTGTTCCAATTAACTTTTCCTCTACTCCTCTGAAAACATTCTTGTAATATGTTCTTCTAACATTCATATAACATATATGCCAGTCTCAAGACCAGTAATGCAGATTCAAAGGAGGAGAAGGTCAGATGTGAAATAGCAATGAGCCAGCTGGACTCACACCTGGCAGCCCAAACACTGACTTCTCTCCATTCAGGATGGTTTTCAAAGGTCTCAGGACTAACATATGTAATGCAGAATAGTGGGGAAAATAAGGTTCGGAAAACCACGTCCATTTTTATAAGAGAATGCAAGCATTTATCTTTCTGTAAACAAACAACATCATTGGAAATATAGAAAGGAACAATGTAGCATAATTCTTTAGGGTATTTCAGATATTGAGGAAAAACTAAAAGGAAGAAGGTTCATTTTCTTATAAACATCTATCATGTACAAGTACTCCCAATGTAGCTATTTAGTTTTCAGTGCTCTCTTCCAGTTTATGTGAAAGGATAATGTTTGTTAAGAATCAGAGAATGTCAGAGATAAACTAGGATCTCTATTGGTCTGAAACAGATAAGAGAAGTGTGAAAGGAATCATTGTTGACTACTGTTTTAGTCAGCTATTTTGCTGCTATGACTAAAAGACCTGACCAGCACAATTATAAAGAAGGAAAAGTTAATTTAAGGGGTTAATTTAAGGGGTTATAGTTTCAGAGGTCTCCATTCACAGCTGGTTCCATTCCCTGGGGCTCCAGGTGAGGCTGAACATCAAGGTACCAGACTGTGGCAGAGGGATGCAGCTCACATGATGACCAGGAAGCAGAGAGAGGGCTCTCCAAGAGCCAGACATGGATATATACCCCCAAAGCCTCCCCAATTCCTGCTTCCTCCACCCACACCCAACCCCTTAAATTACTGCTCAGTTAATCCCTATCAGGGGATTAATTCACTGATTGTGTTGAGACCCTTATAACTCAATCATTTCTCCTCCGAATGTTCTTGCATTGTCTCACATGTGAGATTTTGCAGGACATCTCACATCCAAACCATACCAGCTACAAATAATACTCTTTGAAAACCATCCTGAATGAAGAGAAATCAGTGTTTGAGCTGCCAGGTGTGAGTCCAGCTGCCTCATTGTTATTCCACATCTGATCTCCTCCTCCTTTGAATCTCCATTACTGGTGCTTATCTTTTCAGTAAAACAAGTGTCAGATAGTCAGGGCAATATTGTAAATTAGGCAAAAGGCTCACAGATTAATTATGTACATATTTTATAAATTATTTTATTGAACAACACATATTTACAGTGAAATGATGTTGAAATAAATTGGAATTAAAAGGAATATTTGGAAAATTATTTTTATTGTGTGGAGGTACATAGTAGATCTATTAAAAACTTTAACTGATAAGCATTTTGAAAAGAATCATATGATGTAACATAAGCAAAATATATTTCTTTTGCCAAAGTCTATTGAAACTAAAATAACGGTGGAAGTAATTCATCATTATCAATTTAGATTCCCAAGATATTTACAAAAGCTCTAACATTATTTTAATTCAAAAACTTGAAAAATTATGGTCATTTATGTATTTACTTATTTCATTTTGCCTTATCTTTTGTTTTTACAAAATTCTGTTCTCACCCTGGTGTCTGCTGTGTCATTAACTATCAGGAGCTGTGATTAATAGATATGAGAAATGCCACTTGAACAGGGATTTGGATAATAATTTTCAGAAATGTGAGATTAGGTTAAATACTATGAGAATGTAGCATTTAACCTTAAACATTTCTAAAAATAATTATTAAGCTTAGAGACTTTATGTGATTAATATCATCTATTCTATTTCTATTCATTTTATAGAGTAGAATAATGGATGAGTGTATAAATATTCACCATCTCAAATGTTTTGTTAAAATTGTTTCTAATTTTTTCACATTCACTTATGTTGCTTTAATTAACAAGAATGTTTTACATGCTCATATGTGCCTTGTTCTCTGCCAAGGTACATAGATGTGTAAAATGTGGTTTTTAACAAAAGAACTTCAAAATATAGTAAGAGGATAAACATGCTAAGTACAAACCTATATTATGAAGTCATTATTCTTCATCAGGCATGCAAAAATTTTGCAAAATGATTACTTAGAGATTGTAAAACACAGTTGGGTGCTCTGGTTACTGGTATTTATATAGAATGTTAATATTAGTATAATTTCAAGAGACAGAATTTTAAGAAGTAAACTCTTGCTTGCTTAGCTAACAAATTCACAGTGTATTCACAGAACAAAAATGTGTTTAGAAATCACCATTTGGCATCATGATTTGATAGCACACTTTATTACATATTCCATGCCATTAAAAGAGAGAAATATTGCATTATAAAGGAGAATAATAAGAACTGCAAGTACATCTTCAATGAAATTGAATATAACTAATAACCATAAAACAAAGATCGAT